GAGGCTGTTGGATCCCCTGGAACTGGAGTTATGGACAGCTGTTAGCTGCCATGTGGGTGCTGGGATTCAAACCCAGGTCTTCTGCAAAAACAGTCAGTGTTCTTAACCGCTGAGCCATTTCTCCAGCCCAAGCAAAATATTCTTAAATTGAAGGATTAAGAGATAAATATAAAAATAAAGGCTGGGGGCTAGGAGTGTAACTCAGGTGCTAGAGTGATTGGCTAGCATGCATGAGGCCCTGGGTTCAATCCCCCCAATAATTTTTTTTTTTAAAGTCAAATAAAACTCACAGGAACAGCTTTAGAAGGCACAAAAGAGTCAATGTCCTTCTTGATGATTCTGCCTTCTGGTCCCGTCCCTGAAGAAACACAGATCACAAAGGTGACAGCACACCACTGGACCCCCAGGGAGGTCCACAATGAATCCGAAGCCTAAGTTCCTAAAGATCAGCTACCAAAGACTCTCCAAAGGCCTCATAGCCTTAGCTTCCCCTAAGGCCCTCCCCCAGCACAGCAGACCACACCTTAGCCTCCCCTAAGGCCCTCCCCCAGTACAGACCACACCTTAGCCTCCCCTAAGGCCCTCCCCCAGTACAGACCACACCTTAGCCTCCCCTAAGGCCCTCCCCCAGTACAGACCACACCTTAGCCTCCCCTAAGGCCCTCCCCCAGTACAGACCACACCTTAGCCTCCCCTAAGGACCTCCCCTGGCACAGACCACACCTTAGCCTCCCCTAAGGACCTCCCCTGGCACAGCAGCTTCTTTACTCAGTTAACTCAGCGTACCCTGAACCAACAGTGGTTCTTTTCGGTTATTGTAAATATTAACTGTTTCTATTTAGAGTTTCATCTAGTTAGGATGGACTTTTTTTTTTTCCATTTTCTTACTTATTTCTTAAATTGGGCAATACTGACACAAGGATAATATTGAGCACAGCTCATAAATCTAAAAGGAAAAACAGCTGTACTCTCAGGTCATGAAAGAAAAAAAAGAGGGAAGGGAAGGGACAAAGGGAAGGAAAGGGAAGGGGAGGGGAGGGGAGGGGAAGGGAAGGAAAGGGACCGAACGAGAGGGGAGAGGAGGGAAGGGGAGGGGGAGGGGGGAAGGGGAGGGGGTAAAGGGAAAGAGGGAAAGAGGGAAAGGGGGAAAGAGGGAAAGGGAAGGGAAGGAAAGGAAAAGGGAGAAAGAAAGAGAAAAGAAAAAGAAATGAAACAAAAACTCCAACTCAATTAACCTTGAAATACAATCTTATTTGACTATAAAGTATTTCTTTGTATGGGGTCGACTTTGTAAGGGGACAAATCAACTCTTGTGCCTCAGAATAGCATAAAAGTCATCTGTAACTGCAGTTATCTCATCTAATAATCATTCCTTTTCCACCATTCACAGGGTCTCCACAGCAACCAAAGCTGCCAGTCTGTGTGAGGGATCAAGAAACACTACAATGCCTCTGAAAGACCTTCAATTTCTCTCACAGGCTTAATCTTATTAAATTTTCCTCCCTCTTCCCATCTATAACCTCTTAAATTTTAAGTTTAGACCAAAGCACATAATCCTGGCCTTAAAGCAGATTGAGAATTCAGTTGTTATACCTTTTACACTGGCCCACTTCTAGAAAAAAAATTGGTCAAATTGATTCATCTTCCCCCATGGCAGACTTTTAAAAGGACTCCCGCTGTGTGTAGTTCTTCCCAATTCCTTTCCTTCCTTATGAAAACGGAGTTGGCTAGAACTGTTTATCCTCACCAGGAGCTCTAGAACAGAGGCGGCAGTACCTCTATTAGATTCCCCTCCTTTTTCAACAAACCATAACCTCCCGTTACAACCAGTGTTGAGCTAGACCATAACCTGCAGCCCCTCAAAAAGAGGAAATCTGCATCGCTGCCTTATTATATCAGCCACCCACCACAATTTTCTGAGTTAGTTGAAACTTTTAATCCCTTTTGAAACCTTTCTCCCCATGAAGGCACAATGGGTGATCCCAGTATGGTATAACGGGAAGAACACTGGAATAGCAATAAAATAGGTAGGGTTCTATCATAGAAGGCAGATGACTAGTTTCCTACACTAGCCCCCACACCCACAGCTATGTTGAGAAGACAAAATGGGATGGTGAGGTAAAACTGCCTTGCACCAAAACACAAATCATCGTGGGGTTGCTGTGAGAGCAAGCAGACTCTGAACATCAGGGCTTAAGTTTCAACAGTTTCTTCCTCTGCGATTACATTTTAGCCAACATTACTAAGCAGTCTGCCTGTCTGACTTCTCTCTTGGTTCTACAGTGCAAGTTTTTTGGTTTCTCTCTTGCTCTCTCACACTATCCTCTACCCCAAGTCATTCAGAGTATTGAAGTAGGTCAGTACCTTCTATGCCTAGCCAATTCAAAACTTCTTTGTCTTCTCAGAAACCTAAACTCCCTGCCTGGCATGGTGATGTGCACCTGTAAACACAGCACTCAGGAGGTGGAGTCAGGAGGATCAGGAGTACAAGGCTACATGTGAAGTTTGAGGCCAGCCTGGGCTACACAATGCCTTGTCTCACCGTCCTACCCCCACCTCCCCAATCCAAATCCTCAACTCCCTCTGACATTCATGCCCATGCTGTCTAACTACAGTCTACTTCTCTTCACTTACCTCATTGACCCAAGTCATAATTACTACCATTCATTTAGGTAAATATGCATCCTGATCCTTGTCCTGTTGGGAACAATCCATCTAATACCCAGACTTCTGCATTTTTTTCATCTATTCAGCTATAACTTTTCCCCTCCACATACAAGAGCCTCATCATCTCCTAAGTCAAATCCCAGACTATATTATTACCAGTTCTTAAACATCTCTGGGATCTGGTGAGATGGCTCAGTGGGTAAAAAGACACTTGCCACACAAAGTCTAGTAACCTGAGTTCAATCCTCAGAACCATATAAAGGTGGAAGAAATAACTGAGTCCACAAAGTTGTTCTCTCACCTCCACATACCAGAGTACACAAGTACACACACACACACACACACACACACACACACACACACACACTTGCAAACATGTCTGCCTGAAGCATTTCCCCCACAATGAAAGTAAATTTAAAAGAAATTTAAATCTCTGAAACCCAGAACAGAAACCTTATTTCTACCATTACTGTGGTATGATAAAAATGTATCTCTATTTGGTATTTGTTCTAGGGTCCTGGCATGGCCCTCTTAAAATCTTTGGAATTTCCCAAATGGTAAGTATCTGCTGTTATTCTTTTCAAGACCCTTCACACCACACTAGTTTAAGTTAATGAGGTAACTGGGGATAGGGCTTCCAGTTAGGGGATGGTCAGCTTGAAGACCAAACACTGATTAGAGGGTGTTAACTACTAGTCCTCTCCCCTAACCCCACCTCCATCTCCTCCGCCACTGCCCAGCTTCCTGCCCCAATTCAACTGAAGGAAAAGGGATCAGAAATTGAGTTCAATGACCAATGGCCAATGATTTAGTCAATAATGTCTTTGTGATGAACTGCCATGAAAACCAAGCCTTGCACATGGAGATTCAGTGAGCTTCAGGCTTGGTGAAGACACCAATGTGCTGGGTAGGATGGCAAGCCCGGAGAAGGCATGGATGCTCTGTGGATCCCTCCCCACAATACCTTGCCTACGCATCTCTTCACTGGCTGTGTCTGAGTTCTAGTCTTTATAATAAAAAAGTGAAAATAAAGCTCTTTCCTGAAATCTGTTAGTCATTTTACCTAACTATCAAACCAAAGGAGAATTCTTGGCAATTCCAGATTTACTACTGATGTTACATATACAGGTGGCGTAAGCTGGAATTTAAAGTAAAGGCATCTTAGGAGATTTTAGTATGGAGTCTCATGCTGAATCTACGTGGTTAATGTCAGAATTGGTCTGAATTACTGGCCACTCAGTTGGTGGTCATACAGAAAAAAACGCCAAACATTTGGTGTCAGACAACACCACATAATCACCGTTACTGAGCTCACCGAGCCTAGACTATTCCTGCCCTCCACTGCAAAGTCTCATCAACCTCCTCATCCCTCCACTCCAGGGCTGGGGATGAGGCTCAGTGGCAAAACACTTGCCTAGGAAGCACAAAGTCTTGGGCTCAATTCCAGCAATACAAATAAACCAAACTAAAATAAAATGAAGACTCGACTCTGTGGGCTCTTCTACTGTCATCAGCCATCACATTCCTGTTGCCTTCGCTTTTGTCCTCACCTAACTTTTGTGTTATGGACTATTGTTATGATCACTCCTTGCAGAACTACAACTGTTGTCCTCTCATTAAGACCAGAGTAGCTCACTTTGCTTGCAAGGTAAGTACACACCTGGCTGTCTAACTCAGCTCAGAACCATAACCCAAAACAGATACACAAATTACCCAGAAATCCTACTGCTTTCTTTAAATTTACCCTCCCAATCTCTAAGATTATTTTATAATATCTCTAACTTCAATCCTTTCCAGATTTATTCTCCAAGCTAATAACCTTACTTTACTGATCAAACACAAGCAACCAGAGAGGAATTCTCATCTTCTACCACCAAACTGATAAACCCACCCTGTAACTGCTACTATTAAAATAGTGCCAGCATGGTGGTACATGCCTTTAATCCCAGTACTAGGGAGGGAGAGGAGGCAGAATCTCTGTGGGATCAAGGCCAGCCTAGACTCCAGTTTTAGGCCAGCTGGGACTACAGGAAGACCCTGTCTCAAAAACTTAAAAAATAAATCATGTCTGTACAGGTATCTGTCTGCATGGGGGTACATGCCTTTAAGCCCAGTACTAGGGAGGGAGAGGAGGCAGAATCTCTGTGGGATCAAGGCCAGCCTAGACTCCAGTTTTAGGCCAGCTGGGACTACAGGAAGACCCTGTCTCAAAAACTTAAAAAATAAATCATGTCTGTACATGTATCTGTCTGCATGGTGGTACATGCCTTTAATCCCAGTACTAGGGAGGCAGAGGAGGCGGAATCTCTGTGGGATCAAGTCCAGCCTAGACTCCAGTTTTAGGCCAGCTGGGACTACAGGAAGACCCTGTCTCAAAAACTTAAAAAATAAAAGAAATCATGTCTGTACATGTATCTGTCCTGTTACTCACTAGTTTATCACTCAGTCGATTTCATTTTAGCTCTGAAGTCATCTTACTTAACAATAAAAATTTAGAACCACGACAGGTTCTCTGCACAGGCACTGTTTACTCATTAGTCTTCACAAGTTATTATCTTTATACACAAGTAACAGAGACAGAAAGGTCACAGCTAGTACAAGGCAAAGCCGACACCTAAACCCAGGCATTCTAGCTGCTGAGCCCACTGGCGACTACCACTTTGTTTCTGTTCACTTCATTCTTTACTGCGGGCCACATGAAGTGACCAAAACTAGAAGGTGTCCATCCTTAGGAACAAGTTCTTAATAGATGGACAATACTCATAAAAATTTGCTTAAATAGTAATGATGACTCACTTAGTTCTGCACGTATGAAAATAATAATGTGTTTATTTATAAAGAGAAAAAAACTCTTTAGTAAGTTAATCAGTGTTGCTAACCAATAAATGACCCTTGTTTACTATCTGAGTTCTTCAGATACAAGTATCCACCAGTCCCTCCTCTCTAAAATTTCTTACACTTCTGTCCCTAATTCTAATCACATATGTGTAAAGAAGGGCAAAATGTGTATACTTATGCCTTGTGATTGGCCTGAGCTCTAGCAAAAAAGCAGCAGCTTTCAGGTAAGTGAAACTAGCACTGAGTTCATTGCACACAACTGGAAAGCAGGGGGAAAAAAACAAATTTTTCTTTAGTGATTATGGAGGGTAGGGCATCAAGACAGAGGAGCACAAGACAGTGGGAAGAAAACAGGATGTAAACCAGGCCCGGGTAATCCCAGCTACTGACTGCAAGTTCAAGGCCAGCTGAACACCTTAGTGAGAGCCTGTCTCAAAAACAAAACAAAAAGAGGTAAATAAATCTAAACTAAAGGAAGGAACACTCATAAGATTAATGATAAGAGACTGGAGAGACAGCTCAGCAATTAAAAGCACTGGCTTCTCTTGTAGAAGACCTGGGTTCAATTCCCAGCCCCCACAGGCTCAGAGTCCATAACTTCAGTTCCAGGGATCCGATGTCCTCTTCTGGCCTCTGAGGGCACTGCACAACATAGGTGCACTTACATACATGCAGGCTATATACTTATACACATAAAATAAAAATAAATAAAAATTTTAAAAAGATTAATGATAAGAAATACTGTGCAAATTAAATGCAGAAAATTCAATGACTGGCACATAGCACTAGTCATCAAACCAAGCTTCAAGAACAGTAATTTCCCTCCTTTCTCAAATTATTATAACAACATTAAAATTTAGCTTATATTTATTTTAATTTAAATGTCAGTTAATAATAACATTAATGACATGTAGAGTATTATGTGTTAGATACTGTTAAAAGCTTCACTTTTACACCTCATTTAATTCATATAATTCTATAGGGCATACACTATTATCTTAGTTTTACAGACAGAAAAACCAAGTCGGGTAATTCATCTGAAGACATACATATGCTAATAAAGTCATTTACCAAGACATATTACTCAGAAACAATAAAGCCAAGATCCCACTCCCAAGCTCTTACCACTAAGCTGCATTTTTCTGTGGGGAGAAGATGAAAACAACATCTTCACCTAGCCTTGGGGAGCTTTAGGTCACTTTAAAAAAATGTTTATTAATTTATTTAAATTTTATGTGTATGAGCATTTTCCCTACAAGTATATAAGTGTACCCATGTTGTGCAAGGCCTGTGGAGGCCAGAAGAGGAGGTCGGATCACCTGGAACTGGAGTTAGAGACAGCTGTTAGCTGCCATGTGGTGCTGAGAACTGACTTCTGGAAGATCAGTCAGTGCTTTTATCCACTCTGAGCCATCTCTCCAGCCCCCAACCTTGGTTTTTGGGGTTTTTTGGCTTATTTTATTTGGTGCATGGCTCTAGGAAATGAACCCAGGGCCCTGTGCGTGCCAGGCAAGCACTCTTACCACTAAGCTATGTTCTCCACCTTTCAGTTCAATTTTACCTTAATTTTATTATTTCGAATCAACTCTACCTCATGTTTTGCTCATTTTTCACAATTTTTACTACACCTATTTATTTAGTTACATATTTATTTGTGTGTGTGCAGGTATACCATGGCATACATGTGGTGGTCAGAGAACAACTGGCAGGAGTACGTTCTCTCCTACCATGTGGTTGCCATGAGGACAGAACTCCAGGTTGTTTGACATGGCAGTAAGGACTTTTATCCACTGAGCCATCTCACCAGCCGTTTTGCTTAATGCTACATTCGGTCAGCCTAGCATTAACAGAGATTTCTTATTACATAACCAAACCTTCTAACTCAACTTCGCTCGACAAACATGTATACTTTCAGCAATAGTTAAGTATAGGGAAAGGAACCCCTCACTCCAGTGTCTGGTTGAAGCCCCTTACCAGCTGTGAAGCAAGAATTCCAGCACAATTAACATTTGCTTAAGGTCTCCCTTCCTTCCCAGCTATATAAACCAGCAATTTTCAAAGCTCTCACCAGAAACCTCATTTATAACAGAAGATATATACTGAGCTCCTTGTGTAACCCTAGCAGGATTTTTACCATATCAGACTATAATTCCATGTCTAATACCACCAAAGCCACCCTATAATCCCACTTATTACAGAAAGAGAGAGAGAAGAAAAAGAAAGTTTCTTAGCAACTCTTTGTGATATAACTTGAGAGAAACCAAAATGGTTTATGTAGTTAATTTTAAGACACATAATTGCAACTCTTCCTAGAGGACCCATACCCACATGTGGTATGTCTTAATTTCTATGACTCTCCCTTGAGAAGCCCATACCCACACTTGGGTATGTCCTATTTCCCTGAGCATCTCTCTCTTAATCCCCATACCTAAAATCCACACTAAAAACTTCTTTTCATAACCTACTCTGTTCTTTCGAAGCCAACACCCACGGTCTTGAATATGCTTTTGCTTTTTGTGAGTGTCTTTCCATTTTTGATAAAACCCCAACTCTGCTTCATACCAGTTAGTCCTGAAATTCTTTTTCACATAAAAACCTGGGTTTGCCTAAGTCAAAGCCCCTAAAAGATTAAGGGAACCCCTCAGATTGTTGAGGATGAGTGTGGAGCTATATCTTCATCTGTTCACTACTGACATTAAGTAGTTCCTATAAAAAGAGGAAACTTCAAAAGACACCTAAATTATATAGATAGACCTGGCAGATTAAAGAAAGCACAAGAATGGTTTCCCTACTCTGTGGAGGCAACAAAAAGAAATTTCCCTCCACATAGTTGTATGTGCTGGTCTTAAGGATGAAATTTAAAAAATTTTAACTTTATAACCCCCAATCTTCAGAAACTTACCTTTAACTTGTGTAAGATCAATCCCTTTCTCTGCTGCCAACTTCTTTGCAAGAGGGCTAACAAATATCCTTCCCTTTGATCCAGCAGGAGTAGCTGGTCTAGCAGGAGTGGCCGATGGTGCAGGGGCTAACGGCTGGGGAGCTGGAGGAACAGCAGCCACCTTTGGAAAAAGTTTTAAATGACTGATTCACCACTGCAAGACAGTCTGAAAGACTAACAGTTTACATTTTAGAAGATTAAATTTAAAAAGGTTCACTACCCCAAGATCATATTGTATTTTTCTGTGTTTGACTACTATAACAATAGGAATAGCAGAATAATACTTTTTGTCAGAGACAGAACTAAACCAAGAATTCTTACTCCATGATAACAGGAGAGGCATGGAATGAAAACTGACCTGTGTATAATCTCCTTACCACCTTTCTGTCACCTCTTGCCACTGTCTTTCCCCTTTGAGACTATGTAACCCAGGGCAATCCTCCTGCCTCAGCCTCCCAAGTGCTCCAACTATGTGTGAACTACCATGCCCAGCTTCTTGCTACCTCTTTATTCCCATGGAGTATATCACCAAAAGGGTTTCTGCCTTTATTTAACCTAATTTCAGAACATACAATGAAGCTATAAGATCCCATGTTCAAAAATAAGACAAATGCTGCTGCATTCCCATCAACACAGGGTTACTAAACAGCATCCCACCAATGCAGGGCTACTAAACAGCATCCCATCAACACAGGGCTAGAAAAGAGCATCCCATCAACACAGGGCTAGAAAAGAGCATCCCACCAACACAGGGCTACTAAACAGCATCCTATCAGCGCAGGACTACTAAACAGCATCCCACCAATACAGGACTACTAAACAGCATCCCATCAATATAGAGTTACTAAGCAGCATCACATCAATACAGGGGTACTAAACAGCATCCCATCAATACAGGAAATGAAACCCTAAATTTCCATGACATGACCTTTACACCCAAAGCAGAACATGTAGGTCAGCTGTGCAGAGGGAAAGAGAATATAAGGAGCAAATCACTGAACCCTAGGGGGACCGCACAGTGCTACACACCACAGGTTTCCACAAAGACTAATGATCACCGTTCTGATGCTTATGATCTTTACACATAAAAGAATGTAGGACATCATCTAATCAAATCCCTTTAGAGGTGAACATAGAAATTTCCTTGATTTTAGAGCATACCTACCGGAGGTGGCATAGGTGATAGGGCTTGTGGCTTTAAATCGGGTACTGCTGTTGGCCTGTAGTCTGCAAATGCTGCTATATCTGCCTGCTTCTCTACAATGATACAAAGAGGCGTTCCTAGAGGAACATCTCTTGTGCCTTCTGGGACCAGAATTTTTGCCAGAAAACCTTCTTCTTGTACTTCAAAACCTTAAATAGAAAAAAAAAAAAATTATGGGACCCAAAGACTCCACTATTCCTACAATCTCATGACAGAGTTTCAGGTAAAAGGGTTTTCCCATTTAAACAAGTCATACTGGCTTTTTTTTTTTTTTAATTTATGTGTACAAGTGTTTTGCCTCATGTAAGGACAACATGTGTGTGTAGTGCCCACAGAGGCCAGAAGAGGGTGGTGGACCTCTCAGAATTGTAGTTATGGAAAGCTGTAAGCCACATGGGTGACAGAAGCCAAACTCATGTCTTCTGCAAGAGCAGCCAGTGCTCTTAACCACTAAGCCATCTCCCCAGCTTCCAAGTCATACTGGGTTTTTACAAACTATTTAACCTCTTTGTGTCTTAGTTTCTTTATCTAAAAATGGGAATCTTCACAGTATAGTTAGCCCTCTGTGTCCACATGTCTGTACCCTTAGATTCATTAAAATGTGAATCAAAATGTTACATTGCTGCTGACATGCAGTTAGGCCTATGGTGACCTGAACAGTATACTTTTAATTTTTGCAATTATTCCCTAAATAATACACCTTAACAACCATTCACATACCACTTTCTGTTGTATTAGGCATTATAATTAACCTAGAATTATTCAAAGTCTACTGAAGGGGGTAGAGGTTTAACTCATTAGTAGAGGTCCTGCTTTTTTAGTACAAGGGTGAGTTCATTCCCAATGACCCCACCTCCTAAAAAACACTTTGTCAATTTATATAAAGAAATTGAGTGTCTACAGACACTGTCTGTAGACTCTCATCCTTAAAGCAATTCCCCACCATGTATACCAAGGAATGACCAGATCTACCACACACAGATGTTAGATTTAAATTACTCAGTGTTTTTCAAGCATTTAGAAATAGTACCTGTCACAAAGTAAACAACAAATGCAATTGGCTTTCCAAATCTAGACTTGGGGGAAAAACCTGCATCTGTCCAGAATATGTACAGACTACTTTTGGAGCCAATCTCTTGTGGATACTGAGAAATAACTATATCTATTAAATAAAGCTGAGAGATTGCAAACAGGGTTAGTTCTGAAAGTTACTGAAAACATCTCCAAGAGCAGCCTTTAAGCACACTCACAGGCTGTAAGATGGTATCAATTGTGTAGATAAAGATTAGAATTATACCAAAGTCAAATACGGGAGCTACCAAGTAGGGCAGTGTCATGGGATTTCAGCCCTAAAAGCATTCTTGGAGTCTTACAAAGCGTGTTGCACTCCAATGTGATGGCATTGCTGGGATTCTGTGTTGAAAATGTATACATTATTATCAGCTATTTCTTTTTTCAAATATTAGACTTATAAAGGTAAAACCTAAAGCCGGGTATGGTTTTAGTCCTGTAGTCCCAGCACCAGATGACTGAAGCAGGAAGATGTCAAGTTCAAAGCTAGCCTGGGCAACAGTTCAAGACCAGACTGGGTTACACAGCAAGACCTTCCTTGTCTCCCCAAACAAGCAAATCCTAAAGGCTACTGGAGATGGTAACATTTGCCTTTCAGAGCTTTGTTTTCTGTAGTTATTCCTCTCCTTGATGATCACAACAGAAGATGTTTTGAAAAGGAAAAAGAAAGGCTCCTGGGCCTTAACAAAGGTTAAGAGTTTGACCAACATGGTATTCCCCTAGTGACCAGAGTCTCTAAAATGCCACTCTCTACAGTGAAACTGGTACTCAAGTTAAGCAGAAGCACATCTGTCACCTCCTAGGTCTTTGATTCCTTTTTTTTTTTCCTTTTTAAAAATATTTGGGTTTGTTTTTTTTTTTTTTTTTTTTTTTTTTTTTTAAAAAAAAAAAAAAAAAAAAAAAAAAAAAGAGGACGATAAATCTTTCACTGTGATATATCAAAATAA